GCGGGGCCGGCCGGCCCCGCTCGTCCCCACCGGGGGGCTGCGACACCGGGAGGGGGCACTGCCCGTCCATGATGGTGGCCCCCGGGGCCAGCCCGGAGAACCCCGGCCTCCCCCCCGGTCTGTGGGGGGCTGCACCGTCGGACACACTGGGTGCTTCTTTAGGAAGGCACAGGGAGTGACGGATTTAGCCTGAAATGAGCCCAAAGTCCTCGGGTGCGGAGCTGGAAGGGGTTCCTCCTGTCCCACAGTCACTGTCCTGGGCTGTCCCCTTGTCCCCAGTAAGAGATTTTGGCCCTGGGGACACAAGGGGGTGGAGGTTGGGAAGAAGAAAGTGGTGGCCTGGAGGACATCACTCCGGGTCTGAGCTGCACCTCGCCCGGAATTGGTCTCTGGCTGATGGGTGACATCAAATTAACCCACAGTTGGTCTCCCGCCATTTCCTTGTGGATCCCAGGAAGGTCTGGTACCTCCCTCCAGAGACTCTTCCGCCTCTGGTTTTAGAAGTTCCACCTAAACATGAGGAGGAACTTATTCACTTCGAGGGTGGCAGAGCCCTGGCAGAGGCTGCCCAGGGAGGAGGTGGAGTCTCCTTCTCTGGGACAATCAAATCCAGCCTGGACACGTTCCTGTGGGACCTGCTCTGGGTGGCCCTGCTCTGGCAGGGGGTTTGACTGGGTGATCTCCAGAGGTCCCTTCCAACCCCGTGTGATTCTGTGGTTTACCTCGCTTCACCTTCCTTTCATTTCCTTATCAGACTGAGCAAGAAAAGTACGTTCTTTGCCACCAGTGCCATCGCCTTGGCTTTCTCCTTCGCCCTGGGCTCTCTGACTTTGTCTAATTGCTCTGCTTCTTACCTTTATCGTTCCATTTGTTCGTCATTATTTGTTCCCCCAGAAGTCCCCAGCAGGCCCCCGAGGCAGGCACAGAGAAACACATAGCAAAGAGGCAGCCTCAAGCAGTACTGCCTATTAGTATTGTGCGAGGATGATTTTAGAGAGCTCTTTGCCATCGCTCTGGGGACGGACGGCAGCTGTTCCGTGTCCTCTAAGTGCTCTGGGAGGCCGCGGAAAAAGGAGGAGCACATGGCCACCTTCACAGCAGCAGAGCCTTGACAGAATCATGGAATTGTTGGAGTTGGAAGGGACCCTCTAGAGATGATCCAGTCCAACTCCCCGGCCAAAGCAGGGCTGCCCAGAGCACATCACTCAGGAGCATCCAGGTGGGGCTTGAAGATCTCCAGAGAAGGGGACTCCACACCCTCCCTGGGCAGCCTCTGCCAGGGCTCTGCCACCCTCACCCCAAACAAGTTCTTCCTCAGATTGGAGTGGAACTTCCCATGGTCCAGCTTGTGCCCGTTGCCCCTCGTCCTGTCACTGGGAACCACTGAAAAGAGTCTGGCTCCATCCTCCCTCAACCCACCCTTTAGATACTTATAAGCATGAAGAAGGTCTCCCCTCAGCCTTCTCTTCTCCAGGCTCAAGAGCCCCAGCTCTCTCAACCTTTCCTCATCAGGGAGATGCTCCAATCCCTTAATCATCTCTTTTGCCCTACGCTGGACTCTTTCCAGTAGTTCCCCATCTCATTCATCCCTGTCAGAAGAAACACAGCCATGGTTTTGGTGTGAAAACCCATTTGGTGGGTGGGTAAATGCTGCTTGGGAGTTGCACCCTCCCGTGTCACACAGCTGCTTCGAGCCCTGCCATCGCTCCTGCTTGGGGACCTTCTTTTGGGTTTATTCCTTCTATTTTGCAATTTGTTCTTTTTTAAACTTCCTAATACATATTTAAAGCTCTTTGCTCTGTTTTGGAAAGGGAGCTGCAGTGTGTGTTTTGACAGCAGCCCCTGCTTTTCACCCTAATAAATCGGTGACTGACCACAGGCTGGCACCTTGCATGGGCTTAGAAAGCCACGAAACCAGCCCCGAGCGGGGTGAAGATGCCCTGGGTTTAGGGAATAACCCCACCAAGACACATTTTACCAGTGCCTGGTAAGACTTTGCATTTACTCACCTCTCAAAAGCCCCAAAGAAGAGCAAACAAGGCAGGATGCAGGGGTGGCCGTGAGGGAGAGCAGCGCCAGTCCAGGGCTCTGTGCTCTGCCACTGTCATGCAAATACATCTGGTTGAGCAGCTCAGGGGCAGACTTCAAAGGACAGAGAAGTCATTAGAACCACAGTTCAAAGCAAAAAAAAGTGAGCAGCTGGTTTAGGCCATCTGGTAGGGGACACAAAAAGGGTCTCTTTCTTCCCCAGTCAGTCTATGAAATTTTCATTAATTGTGGGAACACCTTCCAACATTAACCAACATAATGGTGTTAAAAATCTAAGTCTTAGTAAATCACAGGGACTCCTGTGTTAGGAAAACAAGGTGGCTACACTCTGGTGGGTTCTTTCCTCCCCTGGAACACAGCTGGTCATCATTATAATTTTAGGTGGGCGTTCACAAAGCAAATTAGTGGGGATTGGATTCCTCTGCTCCTTTGAAGGTCCCAGGGAAGACTGTGGACAGGATGGTTCAGGAACACCTTCCGACATTAACCAACATAATGGTGTTAAAAATATAAGTCTTAGTAAATCACGGTGACTCCTGTGTTAGGAAAACAAGGTGGCTACACTCTGGTGGGTTCTTTCCTCCCCTGGAACACAGCTGGTCATCATTATAATTTTAGGTGGGCGTTCACAAAGCAAATTAGTGGGGATTGGATTCCTCTGCTCCTTTGAAGGTCCCAGGGAAGACTGTGGACAGGATGGTTCCCCAGGCTGTGGAGGATTCTCATTCTCTATTGATTTCAGCAGCCACATTTGCCTTAAAAACATGCACAGAAAGTGTCATCGCTCGTTTCTCCTGGGCTGGGTCCCACCAGCCGGGATGTGCAGGGATGGAGGGGCAGCATCCCGGGATCCCTGCGCTCACAGTGGGATCCACGCTCCTCCGGGTACCTGGGCTGAGCCCAGGCAAATGCCAACAGCATTGTGCCAACCCTGTGTGGGCACAGCTTAAATAAAACCCCCACCTCCCTGCGGCTCC